ATGAATATTTTTTCGGTGATATTTTTACATGTCACCGAATAGTGGATATAGGTATATAGCCACGTACTTAGGTAATCGCTACATGCTTGATAACTGGATTACGGTAATCTTGGGTTGTTAGTGGTTACTGGTTACATAAAGTTCACTACAGAAAATTATTAGTACATTTTTACAGTATCTTTATGATTTTCATTTTTTATTTTTGTGTAAAGACAATTTAATATATTATGTTACTATGGAAGATGGTATTTTGTAATTTTCGCCACAGTATAAAAATATAACATGTATTTTGAGCCTCATCATTTTAATGAACCGATAGTGTTGCATAAAAGATATATTAAACTACTTTTGGTTTATACCTAGTATGTGGTTTTTGATAATTTTGTTATCACCAAATTGAGAAGATAATATTAATTATTAGTACAAAATTGAAAATATACTCATGAATAATAATTTATAATGATAATATTATGGTTTATAATATATTATTTATAATATTATATTTTAATAATTTCTATACATATTAATTTAGTAGTTACTTGTATAGTTGTACTTATGCATTCGCTGGAAAATGTATACTATTAATTATTTTTGGATTCGCAATAAGTAAACATTTTAAATCAAATGATTATTAATTACATAATATTTATTATAAATCATTATTCAATAACATTATTTATTAAGATTATTGGGTACTTACTAAATAGCTATTGATTTGAATATTAAATATTTGAAAAATAAAAGGATACTGCAGGTACTTTCAGAGGATGTCAGGATTGCCAGCGAATTTTTTTTCTCTCTCTCTATTATACCCACGCTAGCAAATTCTTCGTTTTCAATAATAATGATTATAATTATAATAATTTCAAAAATTTGAGTGAATTGACCTCCTATACAATTTAAATGTGAGATTATTATCCAGAGCTTTTCATAGGCTTTTTACTATATTTTAATTTAAAAAAAGTTATGAGTATTTTAAGATGTATTCAAACAATTTACAATTTTAAAATACTCGCTTTAATATTGTTTAAATATTATGTGCTAACGAGAAAATTATACATTTAATATAATTTCATTCAATATTTAAAACATTCCAATGGTTATTTAAAATTTCGCACTAAGCATTATTCTATTTCATTCAACCTATAACGTATTTCATTCAGGGTCATTGAGTGGTTATTTTTGGTAGGTTTTTAACTGTAGCGGAGGGTGAAATTACGGTTGACTTTGAACACGTGTATGTGTGACAAGGATTTGTCACTAAGAACTCGGGTGGTCACCCATCTAATTGCAGGATCTCGTTTTGTAACCGAATCAGACACTGCCATACCAAGCTGCTTATATTTTATGATTATAACACAAAGTGTGTGTAGAAATAATAATAATTTAATAGATTTAATGTACATGGCATTGTGCAGTACCTATATTTCATGTACCTGTATGATATTGTTATGTTTTTCGTTTATTTTTTGTTGGTTCGTAATATTAAAGTGTGAAACGCAAGTGAACAGTATTTACACAGGGTAGACGATAGATATATGCAAAGTGATCAGTGGAATAGTTATAGACAGCAAGTCAGCAACAGAATTTTTATTTTTTCTGGTTGGACGGCACTATCACTAATGATTTACATCGATTGTGGCGAGACGTCTTATATATGGTCATCGACGGAGTGCAACTGAAATTAGCGCAATAAATAATTTTAATTAATAAAAAAAATAGGTAGGTACCTATCCATTTCCACAAGTATTTGAATTTCAAATGTCTGATTATTGACGGACACAAAATACAATTATTGTAAAAACCAATACATTTATCACTCCACTCATAATCTAGCGTATATTCATATTTTATATTTTTATAATTATATAATACGAACTTTGTTCACGCTCGCATAACACTTTTAACTTTAATTATACGATGTCAATGAAGATCATAACTCAAGCTGTTATTTTTAATATACATCGACCAAAAACATAGTATAATAATAAACATGTTACTTCTGCAAATTATAAAATATACTAAATCGTACAAAAATAAATAAATTAAAAATAAATAGCAGAAAAGTAACCCACTAGGTGCAAAATATTTTTAGTGTCCATGTAATCCTTGGAGGGGGAGGGGGGGCTTTAATCAATTTTACTAAAAACTATTTATTTACATTAATACATTATTTATATATTAATATTGTTTGGAAAAATTTATCATTTAATGAATTAGCACTACATTTTGTTGATACATTATTTGCATTTTGAATTTTATAGTTTTTATAGATTTCACTAGTTCATCACCTGTCAATTTTAGTTGCAATTTTCAGCATTAAATTTAATCTTTTTACAGTACAATTAAAATATGAATTTAAGTATATACAATGAAAAATTCATATTTTGTACACAGTAAAAATGAATACAAGTTTAGACTAATCTACTAAACAGAATAAAAGTTATACTACATTTACATAATACACACTATAACTACAAATTAAAGTAAATAGTAATAAGTATAATAATTATTAACTAACAAGTAATAGTACTAAGTACAATTGTACAGACCAATAAATAATAATAATATAATAATAAAAACAAATTACTTCTATATCTTGTGTCGCAGTAAGTACATCACACTTAGTTATTTTGTTGATTTGATCAATGAAAGTGGTGTTTTTTTTCCATTTATTAGACTTATAGACATATTATTTATATTTTCTAATAATGTTCGGCTTCGGAACTAGGAATACTGAATAGTCGTAAGATATATAATAAACATTATTGTACAGAATTTGAAATGTCATTGTGTGTATAAAATATGAAAATAAGTCTACTCTAAAAGTTTCAATCACCCACGAGGCCACGATTAATAATTTTAAATTATAACAAAAAGCAGAAAAAGCATTGCTTTTCCTCTATTGATTTTAGAATAGCAATAATTTTTGCAGGGTTTCCGGTCATTTTTGAGCGTGCACTATATACATTTAACACATTTAACTTCCCGCCTACTCCCAAAGAAACAGTTTCTATACTGTTTTGATACAATTTTAATTTTCCTGGTTAGTTAATCCAATTAACTCGATACGTTTGTTTAATTAGTTCTTGCTCAATTATGTTAAAACGTTAATTAACTAATGTAACTTCACCTTTTAATTTTAGATTTTGTTCTTTTAGATGTCTGTTTTCCTCCTTAATTCGTATGGTAAAATCATCAAATTGATTGACTTTGGGAGGTCCAATAGTTGCTCATTAGAAACATCATTACGATCTTCCATTGCTGGTAACCTTTGTGTTTTTACTATCAGCTACTATTGACTCTATGGTTATATGCCATAGATAAGGGTCTATGCCTTCTTTACATTTAGTGCAACACTGTGGTTTCTTTCTAGTGGCTGTATAATTTTTAAAACTTTTTTCTCTAATAACCGCACAACTGCACAAGCAAAATGCAAGAATACCTTACACTTTGAGCAATTTATATTGTCATTGTCGAAAATTTCCTTGTTACATATTATATAGGTAAATGATAATAGCATGATAATATATTAAGTATAACTGATAGGTAATTTCGATTTTAGATAAGCTACAAGCACACGATTAGACACGACCTTTCACACTGAATCAACACGAATCGATAATTGAAATGAAATTAAATAAACTGAAAATAAATAAACTTACTGAAATTAATTGTTTATAAAAAAAAAATTGTGCTAAGGATTTTTAATATTTTTCAACAAAAACTGCAACAGCACATTAGGAGTCTTGTGTTAAATTTTTAAGCTTTTTGTCCCAACGAATACAATTTTATTGACATTAATAGAAAAAAAAAACTAAAAATATTGAAATTGTTCATAAACAGCGCAAAACAAGTCAAAATATTTTTAAAACTTTGTGGTGTATAAAAATGTTATTATAAACATTCAGTGAAAATTACATGTATATCTACGCTTATTTGTTATACACTAAAATCCAAAATCGAGTTTCGCGGAAAAATTCCCATTTTCCATAATTTTTTTTGTGTTCTCCGGAGCTTTTTTAGTGATTGATGTATTTAATTTGAATTTAATGACAAGTAAAATGAAAAAAAATAGTTAAAAATATCTTATGGTTATAAATAGGTCAAAAAAATTGAAAATAGTTTGAACATTTTACTTTATATGGAAAATGTTTGAGCCATACATACATTTATTCATAATTGGATCATATTAAAATAAAGTTTATATTATATTGTCTACATGACGAGCCATGCACATTTAGCTGTACCTAACTGAAAACAAATTTATTTTTGGACTCCAGCCAGTGTCGGTTTTGCTAATGATTGGGCCCCCGGCACAGTAATTTTCAATGGGCCCTTTTACAAAAAAAGGGGTTTTTTAAATTTATAATTTTTATAACATATAAAGGTGCATTTCCTGTGTACATAAGTACATTTAATATTACATTTTGATTAAATAGTCAAATAAAATATATAATATAATTAAAAATAAAACTTTTTAATAGTAAATATAATATTATATTATTTAAAACAATAATCTCTTCAATTCTACTAATTATAGATACTAGTATTTATAAAAAATGCTTCAATGTTTACAAATTGATTCGATTGGAACCCGAGTCTGGTGTCTCGAGTAAACTTAATATTTTTATTTTTTTCCATTTGGAAATGGGCCCCTAATATATGAAAATGTCCAGGGGCCTCCGGTGCTTGCCGGATAACCGGGTGGGCCAGACTGACACTGGGTTCAACCTTTTTTTAGTAGAGATACGAAATACATATACATTAAATTATGTATTATATTATAAAAGTATAGAGAACCGTATTATAACTTTGAGCTTGATGAATATATGGAAATAAACAATTGAAGGAGAATCTGATAAATTTTAATTTATAAATAATAATTATTATGATAAGGATAATGGTAAAATACACATTTAAAATAAAAACATTATATTTTTATTAGTTAAAAAAATAATTAAATAACTAAAATGAAGTAATTATTTACTACGGTATACATTTATAACAATTTTGTTCTACGTAATATTTATTCGGTTTAGTTTGGCCAGTTACCACCGTATAGCTTATTTTGACTGTTGTTGAAAAATAAAAAAATTAAGTACATAATTAAGTAGAAGGTTGAAAGTATCAAAAGTTATTTATATTGATTCCCTTGTTTTTGCTGAGAAGATCCCTTAATACCATTCTGGAAAGACGGAACCTGGACGAGATAACTTGGTGCCAAAGGAGAAGAACCAGATGAAGGGTAACCAGAATAACCCCCGCCAAGACCCGGAGCAGGAGCATTATATGCAGGAGCAGCAGAGCCATATGATGGAGCAGCAGATCCATATGCAGGAGAAGCAGAAGGATAACTAGGAGCACCAGAATTGAATCCCGGAGCAGACGGATAACCTCCTTGGCTGCCTGGGTTTCCGGGTCTGCTTAATTGTGGTTTTGCTTCTCCTTCATAGCTGACCTTGGCGTTGTAACCGTTTTCGTCGGCTACATATGTCACTACTTGATAGCGACCATCCGGAAGGAGTACTCCGTACTTTCCGGTCACTCGTTGGCCATCACTGTTGGCTTCGTGATTGTAGTCTGTATTGGTAGGTGCATCTTTCACTTCATAAGCAAAGTTGAACGGCTCTGGCTGTATTAACGCAGACAAAGACATTGTTCAGTTAATGCAATTAATAATACAAGTTTGAATTAATAACTATCACTCTTGTGTCTAGTTCATAGTCTATTGTCTACAGACTATACTAGAAATGCTAATATTTATAGCCCATACTTATACCACAGAATTTATAGGTACAAGGTAGGTTAATTAAGCTTGTATGGCTGTATCTGAATTTGGGATTTTAACTTGAAATCGGTTTGTTATTTTTTTGTCACTATTACTTGCGTAACTAAAAAAAGTATGATAACTGCGTATTTGAATAAGATCTTGTATAATTCACATTATACTTTAAGCGATTTTTACAAATTATGAAAGGGTAATTTATCAAGTTAATAGACAATTATTTAATTAATTATAATATACCTAAGCGACTACTAAAATAGGCAGGATACCAAAATAAGTCATTAAAATGTTTAGGTGAACATGTAACAGGTATTACTTTTACAGGTTCCTACTTACAGCCTCATTAACCAGAGTTTGTTTAGGAATTTTGATTAGTGGTGGGGGGGGGGATCTAAAATTGAGAAATAAAATAATTATAATTATATGTGAGCACAATATAAGTAATATACAGGACATATTATATTATATTTATCAGGTGTGCATGCAGCTGCTTAAAAAATATAAATAAGACACGGTAGGTTAAAGTTAAAGTGCAATGTGTAATGTGTAAATTAAAAAATGGATTATCACTTATGGATTTGATTATACTTATCCTTTTCTATTATTTTCATGGGCCATAGGAAGGTATACTTAAAATCAATTTTCGGTAGTTTGCGAGTTGTGACACATCACAGTAGTCAGTGGTTATTATCACACCCTATATTGTAGTCATTCCATTTTAAGTCAAATATAATTTGTGGAGAGTATCTTTAATAATTATAAGCCTATTATAATTAATACTGATTTTTCTGTAGTTAAATTAATTGATTTTAATACTGTGCAGTTTTATTAACGTTTAGTAATACTAAGTTTCCATTTTCTTAATTAATAGCATCATATTTTGCGATTAACGAAATAATTTATCTGTATAGCCGCACATCATCAATCTACATTTTACAGCATTTCAAGATGTTATAACTAATAGGAATAAAAAAAATGTATACTTTTAAGTAATAATTAATAAGTATAAGTCCATTATGGACTTGTAATAAATGCTTACTGTACATTTAGACATTTAGTGTACAGTTTATTGCTGCATATTGAACATTTGAAACTTATTTCGATAAATTATGCCTTTAAAGAAAGGGGGAAAACTGCAGAATCCTTATAGGGGTATTAATTGTGACCAGTGACTTATGATAATCAACGTTTTTAAGTAATTAATTATATTTAAAAACCATATAGCAATACCAAGGTCTAAGTAATTCGATTGAGAATATTGCTATCTGTATAAATTGTATAATACTAAAATACTTTACATGACGGCTGACACCATTATTTATGGTTAACTACCATATTTTAATAATAACAATATTAACGTGGGTACATATCAATATTTTGTTATGAAATTTATTTGCATTATTCAAAAGATGACTGGTTATGCCGTTAGTAATTACGAAATAATATTCTAAAAATATGATTTGTATTGAAATGCAATGTGCGTATTAACATAGAACTTACTTCTGAATTTCCATCTGATACACCTGCTCCACTGACGGGTTTTTGGCCTTTGTATCCATAATCTCCTGATGGTACACTAATACCTGAACCACCGTATCCGGGATTGCTATTTCCAGCAGGACTGCCATATTGAGCACAGACGAGTGATGTTAAAAATACATTCAATAATAGAACGACAACGGCCTAAAAATATTAAACTTGGTGATGAAAGCGTTGAATTTAGTTTTGTAATTATACAATTAATATATTACTAATATCTACATGCAAGGCCGAAGCCATGGGAGGCCAAGGAGAGGGGGCAATTTCCCCCCTTCCCAACGTCCATAGCTAACAAATATAATATTTATGTTTAACAAATTTTTTAATTGAGGTAAAAATTTGAAAATACACTTGGTTGACCTCCACCCCCTGATGATATTTCTACCTACGCTCTTGTCTACATTTACATGTCATATCACTCGACATTCATGGGCATGGGACTGTACTAGTGTGCCTACATAGATGTCTTGTGAAATATCTAAATTTAAGTTTAATTTTAGAGTAATAACTAATAATGACAATCGAGTAAGTACACAGTAAACAAAAACTTCAAAAAAAAACCATTGTACAATGTTATACAGACTAACTCACTACACATCATACAAAGTACCAATCAAATTTATGAGTGTTGATTATATTGAGTCAAATAGTTCTATTGGTACCTAGAAGTATGAATATATGTTTAAATGAATAGTGAATAAATATAAAAATTAAAAAGTTAGTTTATTTCACTTTGACACAATATTGTGTATAGGTGAACCTATGCTATTTTGTATGTTTTAAGTTATAACTTTTAACTTAAAAAGGTGTAAGTTATCATTGTCGTACTAAATACGTTACTTACTCAAGATTATACTTATTGTAGACTAAAGTTACAGTGTGTAAGTATTAAGTATTAAGTACTGGTGGTTCCACGAAAAAATATCCCTGACAAAATATAATACTATATAATCTTTATTATAAAAGTTGCAATTATAAACAATAATCGCACTTTATCTAAATAAAATGTGTATCATTCGTTATTTTTATAATGGTATAATAGTGTGTCATTTTATACCATTACCTACAGTGCGTGTCGTGTGCATTTAACTGAATTTATTAAAATCGATCGATTAATTAAATTATTAAACTAACACATTTTATTTTATTTAAAAATGTTAGAATTTACTAAAAGCCAAAAAGGCTATAATTTACTAATATATGAAGGATATTTATTCTGTATACACCGAAAGAGTGAAAAAAAATAATTTGGCGTTGCACTGAGTAAAAAAGTAAAAATTGTTCGACGAGATGTTAAACAATCACAGACGACGGATCAGGTTTGTTTATTTATGATTACCTACCTAATTATTAGGACTTGGATATAATAATATATAAAGTAAATATATAAATATTATAAAATAATAAAATATAAGAACCGTCGATATCTGAATATCTATAATATGTAGCTTGTGTTATAATAAGCATAATAATTTTTGACGAAAAACTTACCATTTTAATATTTTTTTAAAAATGTTTTAACTAATTTTTTTGTATTCTATAAATGTATTAATATCTATATGTAACTTGTATAAAAAAGTTTAAATTTTCAACTAATGGTTACTCGAGATATTTTGACGTGTCACAGTAAGTACTTACTAGATATTTCACATTGATACATAACTGTATATAAAACGAAAATGTTTTTGATTAAAAAAATTCATGAGATAAGTTGAACTGTGGTTTTTTGTAAGATTATGGTTTTATCAAAATTCCAATGAAATTGTTAATAATTGAACAATAAAAAATAAGACCAAAATTCAAAATATAGTAATAACTAATACGAGTTTGTCCAAGTTTAAGCTATTCACTATATAAATATTATAATAATGTATTAAACATTATATAGTATTATAGAATATATGTGTGTATTTTAATATTTCATTCTCATACATGTAAAATATTTGTTTTAAATAACAAAAGTATACACAGCTACATAAGTACACGCACACGTACAAAATTATATATAAACAAATACGTGGTACGTAGTACTGGCAATGAATAAATTGTTCAATAGAATAAACTTGGACAAGTGGGCACTACTCTGCTGTAGAGTAGTTGTCGAGTAAGTATACCTATGTCATTGTAATGGATATGGATTTGATATATTTGATTCAATGATGAACCGTTGCTTGCAAAAAATGATTCTGAATGGAGACGTGCAAAATATTATTTTAGTTTTATTTTTATTTTTGTATTAATTAACTTGCGGTGTCATAGGCCATTTATTGGTTATTATTAGTACATTTTTAACTGTAGGAGGGTGCGGTTACTGTTGACTTAGAACACATGTATTTGTCACTAAGAACCCAGGTGGTTACCCATCGGGTACCATTTGGCTGGCGTTCAGTTCACGTTTTGTGACTGAAACCAGCTACACACCGAGCCACTTATATTCTATGATGATGGCATAAAATGTGTTTCGAAACAGTAACAATATAGTAGGTACTTAAAATATTAATATTGACATTGTGAAGTATAATGTTGTTATGTTTTTCGCTTACCTTTTGTTGGATCATGGTAGTGTGATGGGTTATATTAAAGTGTGAAACGTAAGTGAACAGAATTTACGCCGGATAGATGATAGGTATAGACGGACACTGGAATAGTAATAAGCAGCAACCGAGTAGATATTTTTCTTGTTCGACGGCACTATCACTAATGATTTACATTGATTGAGGAGGGACGTCTTATATAGTCACCGACGGAGTGCAACTGAAATTAGCATAATGAATCATTTTGATTATAAATTAACTAATATAGTTATTTTTCATTTAAATAGGTATTAGGTATCCAATTTCACAGACATGTGAACTTGAAGTGTCTGGGTATTGATGGACACAAAAAACATAAACATCATCGTAAAAACCAATAAATTGATCACTGCGTCCAGAATCTAACGTATGAATATCTTATATTTATATAATTATGTTTAAACTTTGTTCACGATCTCATAACTATTAACTCTAATTACGCGATGCCAATGGAGATCATATCTCACGTTATTACTTTTAATAGACGTCGTCCATAAACACAATATGAACGCTAGCTAACATAATATAATAATAAAAGTGTTATTTCCGCAAACTTAAATACTAAATCTTACCCCAAAAAAATATCAATTATTATAATTAACTAATTACTAACATACACAATCAAGCAAGAAATGTAAAAATTGTATTTTATATTAAAAAAGTTTAAAATGTTGTCGAAAATTATTATTTTGAAAGGAAATCAGTGTATATATTATATTACTTCAAGTAACGAAAACTGTATTAAGCACAAGTTTTTATTTTTATTATATATTTTTACAGAATAATACCTAAAATGTCTCATACATTTTGTTTTGGTATCTTCTTTAATTTCCTAAACGTGATACGATGTTAATGATTGTAATTATTGCCAATGGACAACGAGCTTAGATGAGGAATATACTTACAAAGAGTTACAATTAACAACAAAAAATAATAATGTAGGTATGTATATTATTAATTTAAACTGTAAGATTTAAAAGTATAAAAATATGATATTATTACGAAATTATGATGAAATAGTAATAACAGAAATTAAATTGATGATGAAATGTGGTGTGCTAAATTAATAGGTTTACTTGGAGCTTTTTCAAAAACTGAATGTTTTAAATTCGAGTATGCAAGGTCGCAAAGCAAAAATCATTTCTATACTAATGATAAAATGAAATTAAAAAAAAAATTAATTTATGGTTATCATCCATAAAAAATGTTGAATTTTTATGTTTTTCTTCAGTTGAAGAATCCATAATGCATTTAAGCATTGTTCAAAAAATGAAATTGAAAAACATAATATACGAACATTTGTTGACACTTTCTTGAAGTTTAATGAGTTATTCTCTATCACTTTCAACGATAGAAATACAGTGGGTAGTTTCATTATATTATGGTCCACGTGGAGAAAATATAGTAAAAATGCAAACTAAACTTTTAAGGAAAAAGAATATTTATTAGAAGTGTCATCAAAAACAATGTTAAAATCTAAATTTTATATATCTCAAAATGATTCATTTTGGATTTCTTTGCAACACAAATACACCGGAGTGACCAAAAAAACATTGCAAATTTTCCTTTTTTTTTCAACGTCATACATATTACACATGCATGTGAATCACCATTTATGACATAAGAAATAACAAAAACCCAAAAATGTCTACTCTTAACGATATTGCAAGTGAATTACGCATAAGTTTATCAACATTTGCCCACAAATCTTAGATGTATAATATGTACAGTTCACAAATATCGCACCTATTTTCTTTATAAGGTAATACTGTTTTTTATAATACTTTTTTTATTTACAATACATTCTTTGAACTGTTTAAATTTTAACTAAGTAAATTTGTTTCTTTTTTTAAATAAAATGCTGACATACATTATATGTATTACATACATAATAGATTTAGTAGGTAATAATTTGTATTAATTTACAAAGGTTGGTAAATTTTTACTTTTTCAAAAATCCATTAATATGTTACGATGTCGCCATTTTTATGCATCTAAATTGGGGAGAAAAAAAGATTGCCTAGGTACTATCAAATCATATGACGCCGGTCGATCACTTTCCATTGTATAATCAGCCCCATTCATCGTCTCATTCCAATGATGTAATATTGCACCACGATTTGTAAGCACGCAATCATGGTCTTGAATTGAGTATACCTGTATATATATAGTAGATACTAGGTATATCTATAAAATACCACGGTGCGGGGTTATTGAAAATACAAAAATATATACTACCCATATCTTATATTGTACATAAAATATTAAAATCAAGATTATCGTATCGGCAAGTGTTAGGCAGCAGCCTCAGTCATTATTATTATTATTATTATTATTATCATCTCGGTGTCTCGAGTTCCAACTTATAGAGGAGCTGAAGAGGTAGGAGATATAAGGCAATAGGTATTATCACGGTCTTTCATGATTTTCTATTATTTTGATGTATCGTTCCCACGGGTGATACAACCTCCAACCGGTCCAAGCGAATAGTACCTACTCTATTATTATTGTTTTCCGGTAAATCGTTATATTTCATAGGCTGCCGACGTAAAAATCGTTAAACAAAAATATCTAATATAATTATAATTTCGAATGACGACTCTAAATACATAGATGAGGCAACCAGAATATGATAACATATTGATCATTATTCAAATTTACCACAATAAAACCTTGTCTGACTAATTTTTCGCCGAAATAACATGGGTGTTCCTTCGGTATTAAAAATTAATTGTTTTTCGTGCGATACGTGACCGTTGATAGCCGACATTGAATGTGACCTGAGATGTTCAAATATATTGCCAAACTTTATTTATTCGTAATTATCTTATTATAAGGCACAACTCCGTGTACATTTGAATGAGAATGCTAAATAATCAGTATAAACCCATCGAGGTTTAATTGAATTTTATTTATTTAAGTATGTCAATAGCAACATTTTTATTAACATTATTACATTTTTTAGTTAATTATTTGTATTTTGTATAATATTAAGAGATTTTAGTAAAATTATGAATCAGAGATGTCTAGAATAATTACTGCCTATAATTGGTAGTTGGTACAGGCAGGTACCTACTCATGACCATAACTTAGAGGATGTGGCACAAATTTGTTTCATCCTCCAATTGAAATATTATGTTTTCAAGGTAATTTTAATAGCAACATTTAAAATTATTTTAGTACATTTTGAAGTGTATTTTTAAATTAATTCCTATTAGTAACTATTACTCAGTCAGTGGAATTAAAACTTTTGTTTGGGGGCTATCCATGCGTCATTTAACAAATTAGACAACAATAATCATTATTAAAATAAATGTTATTCCTATATTATGCATTGGGCTCCACTTATAGTTCAAGGATAAAACGCGGGCGAGTAGATAACTCTGTGCTGTGCTGTGCTGCGCTGCACGAAAGATATTTTGACGGTTTTTGAGTTTTTTTGACGTTTAATATTTTCGATTTTTTTCTTATAACATCGATAACAAAATATGTAGGATCGGCTTACTAAGGAAAGATTTTCTAACATTTAAAGAGGTGTCAACACAGTTATCAGGATTTTTGAATTCACATTGGAAATCGAAATTTTTTTTTATTTGTAAGTAGTGGCCATTAGTTACAGATGATAATATAAGAACTGAAGAAATTAGTATTTTGTTATATAAATGGTTGCACACTTTGTACCTAAAGTAAAATTATTGTTATGATTATGAAATAATTTTAAACGGTAATTGTTATTTGGTCTCAATATTTTCATAACAGTATATTTTTTTATTTTTTATTCAAAATTAAATGTTTTATTTTTTTGTGTTTTTAAAATATTTTTAACGCCATTAGCCAAGTATTAAATAATGAATTGAAAAGAGTTTGAACTAAATACACCTAATACCAGGGACGCCCGGAAGGGGAGGCCAGTGGAGACCATTGCCCCCACTGAGATGTCTTGTGTAGTTGTGTCAGTTACAAAATTTAAAGTTTTTTTACATAAAGCTGGTCTAAGGTATTTAGCGACTATGCGACAATCCTTGTATCTAACAAGTCATAGAAAAGCAGCCTGTCGTCGACGGAAATAGAAACCTTTTGACAGACATTATTATTATTACATTTTTCTATTCTGGGTAATGTGTTCAGCTATCATGAGTAGAAATGTGCAATTACTATATATAAATCATTATCAAACGATTAACGAAATATTGTGTTTTCCAAGTCCACGTATTGTTGAGTGTTGACTGTTGTTAGCGTTGTTGCCCTACAATTTACAAATTAACCAATTTTTAAGTTAAAATAATAAAAAAATTCGTTAAGAAGTGCAAATATGGATTCAGTTCCTAAAGAAGAAAATGAGGACACTTGACTCCTATTTTTCAAATGATAAAACCAAAAAAGTAAAGCTCTTATATTGGATTATTTATATTTAATTTCTTGCTAATATTTTATTGAAATTACATTCTACCATCATAACAAATTTAATGTTTTTGGGAGTTAAATTAATTACTTTCATACTTAAAGTATGCATTTTTTCAGTTAATACAACTTACAAGAAATAAAATTGTTTTTTGTTTAAATTGTATTATGTTTTTTCTTAGAAATATTAGAAATAATAGTGTAATTACTATAATTTTATATTTACTTAAATTAGTTTTGATTTTTAAAAAATTATAAACGATACTATTACTAAGTATGAGTATATGAAAGTGTAGCGGTAAATCTTCCCATAAGTATTTACTATTTAGGTACTTGCAATTTTTTGCCCCCACCCCCTGAGCTACATTGCTGCGGGCGTCCCTGCCTAAGACCTAAAAGTTGAAATTTTGACTGCCAAAAAAATGCATGGGGCCACCTGGAAATTATAATTAATATCAATATATTTGTAATATAATATAGGCTGATAGACCGCCTCCACTCAGAAATCGTTTTTCATATGCAGTGATTTATTTTTAATTCAAATTATTTTTTAATTATTAATATTAATAACCTCTGTTGTTGTGTTGTTGCTTTAATATTAGAGTGAATTTACAAATTAATTTAAGATAAGAACATTATACCATTAAACATTTATACTAGTTCCCAGCTTTTTTTTAAGTTCGTTACTCATTAAAAATACCAAATCAATATTACCTATCAATATTCAAAATCTGTGTTCAATTCGTAG